AGAGAGAGAGAGAGAGAGAGAGAGAGAGAGAGAAAGTGAGAGAGAGAGAGAGAGAGAGAGAATAAATGTCTGCTCAGGCTGACTTTCTCTATTCTCTCTTTCAATCTAAGACCCCAGACTATAGGATAGTGCTGCCCACATTCATAGTGGGTATTTCCTCCTTAATTATCCTCTCTAGAAATTCCTTCACAGCTCACCCAAAGGGTGCACTTTAGTATTCTAGTAATCTCAATCTCAAGATTATCCAATACAGATCTATTGTAGAACTTTAAGATGTGGAGCCTAGTAGGAGGTCTTTCAGAGAACCTGCCTTAAAAGGGGATTAAGGCAATTCTTAGGTAACCCATTCTCTTGGATTGGTTATTATAAAAGACAGCTTAGAGCCGGGCGTTGGTGGCTCACACCTATAATCCTAGCTACTCAGGAGGCTGAGATATTAGGATCACTGTTCAACACCAGCCCAGGCAGGAAAGTCTGTGAGACTCTTATCTCCAATTAACCACCAGGAAACTGGAAGTGGCGCTGTGGCTCAAGTGGTAGAGGGCTCGCCTTGAGCTAAAGAGCTGAGGGACAGCGCCCAGGCCCAGAGTCCAAACTCCATGACTGACTGAAGAAAAAAAAAAAGACATCTTGGCCCCTGCCAACCTTTCTGCCTTCTGTATCAAGATGTGCTCTCTTATACCTACCAACTGTTTACACCACTGCCACCTCCATGATACGGCCAAGCTGAAAGGCCTTTGTCAGAACTGAGCTGATACACTCAAACTGAGAGCTAAATAACACTCTTTTCTTCTTAAGCAACCTGCCTCAGGCATTTTGTTAAAGCAATAAAAAGCTGATTTAATATAGCCCTGTTAATGAAAACTTTCTTTAATAAGATCATGGTTATTCCATTTGGGGGAAAAATAAAAAATGAGGGATAGAAGGGAAATGCTACTTAGAAGACATTGTTCCAGTGAGCAGATTTGTTTGTTTCTGATTTCAGGGTCATTAAGGTCAAATAATGACCACTATTCTCAGGAATTCAGTAGCTGAGTTCCTACATAAAAATGAAAAGTTATTCGCTCTTCTTAAATGTCTAATACTATGGCTACTTTAGTGGATAGTTTGGAACATTTCTGTAACACTAACAGTATTCTTATAATCCAGCATTCTTATTCCTTGATATTTACTCAAAGAGTTGGAAACATATATTCAATCACATAAAAATCGATACATGGATATTTATAGCTGATTTAAATTTAATGCCCCAAACTTAGAAGAAACCAGCAGATAAATGGACAATCAGAAGATAAATGGACAAATAAATTGGCAATCTACCAAAAGAATAGTATTCAGGGCTAAAAGGAAATGAATTGCCAGGTGCTCATGGCTCCTGCTTGTAATCCTAGCTGCTCAGGAGACTGAGATCTGAGGATCGTAGTTCAAAGGCAGCCTAGGAATAAAAGTCTGTAAGACTCCTATATTCAGTTATGCAGCAAAAAGCTGGAAGTAACTGAGGGAAAGTGAAGGAAGGTTTGACATTATCCATAAAAAGAAATGTACTCATTACCTGACTTATGAAATGGTAATCCTTCTGTATAGCACCTTAGTAATGACAATAAAATTGTATTTTGAAAGCTAAAAGTGGAGGTATGGCTCAAGCTGCAGAGCACCAACCTTGAGTAAAAAAGCTAAGGGAAGGAGCAAGACCCTGAATTCAAGCCCCAGTAACACCACCCTCCATTAAAAAGAAATGAACTATTAGGTCATAAAAACAT